TTCTTGAGCTCCAAATCAGCATATTAGAATGATTTCTGAAGGATCATGTGACACTGAAGACTGAAGTAATGGCTGCTGAAAATTCAGCTTTGCCATCACAAAAATAACACAGTTTGTTTAAATTGTAATAATATTTCAAAATATAGCTGTTTTTACTGTATTTTTTATTTAATCAAATAAATGCAGCCTTGGAGAACATAAGAGACTTCTTCTAAAAAAACATTAAAAAATCTTAAAGATTCTGAATGGTATTTTATATAAATTAATATATGTGTATATATAAAACATTTTTTAAATGTATTTCGTGTCATGCCAAAATTGTGGCCGTGTAAGAAGAACCCAGCATTACCTGTCATTCCCCAGCCAGTGATGACACATGACGCAGGTCTCTTGCCCCACTTACTGCCAGGTGCAGGCAGACAGGCGGCGTTAGTATGAGGGTTAAAGGACACGCACTTCCCCTCGGAGCCCTTCAGTCGGATCAGAGCCACATCATGCTCCCAGCTCTCCGTTCGGTACTTCCTGTGCACTTCTATGAGCTCTGGAGAGAGGACACGTTCAAAATCATCCTGCTCCTTCGTGTGATAATCCCCGAGCTTCACCACATACCGTGAAGCATCACTTCCAAACCTGTAGAATCAAGACATTCATTCATATCACAGACGATGCACTACCATTTCAATCATTCCCCTGCTAATCTCATTTTAATTAAGTGTTACTTTAGTGTTGATTTACAGGAGCTGTCTCATGTTAATTATTCCAAAACTGAGCACGACTGCTGCTTCATTACAGAGCAATGATTTGTACACATAAATACACACACGAACGTTCAAAATTGTGGGGTTGATATTATTTTTTTATGTTTAAGTCTCTTACACTCACTAAGGCTTTTTTTATATTATTTGATCAAAAATACAGAAATGAGTAATTTTGTCAAACATTAAACCAATTTCTATTTTAATATATTTTAAAATGTAATTCATCCCTATGATGAAATATTCAGCATCACTCCAGTCTTCCGTGTCAATTGATCTTTCATAAATCATTCTAATATACAGATTTGGTGCTGAAGAAACATTTCTTATTATTAAACAGTTCTTACAGGACTTTTTAGAAATACAAAACTTTTTTTAACATTATAAATGTCTTTACTGATTATTTTGATCAATTGAATATGCCTTTGATGAATAAAAGTATTCATTTCTTTCAAATAAATAAATTACTGACCCCAAACTTCTAAACATACAGTAATTAGTAGATAATTCAAGCTTCATAAAGTTTTAAAATTTAAATTAAAAGTAAATGTATTTGTGCCAGATGACATCTGGAAGACATGTTCACAATTCACAGTGCTTCTAAATTGGCCACTTATTTTTGTGCTGTCTGTAATTTCAATTCAATCAAAATCAGTTCAAAAGGATTATGGAGTCGGATTCGGTAGTTGAGGAGCCTATAGGTGTAGCCGCTAATAGCACTGATGTCCAGCAGGTGTCTCTCTTACCGTTTGAAGCAGTGCGCTGCAGTGAGCAGCCAGCAGGAGTTTATGAGAGTGGCTCCACACAGAGGCTGATTCCCTTTAGATTGTGATCTGAGCCACAGGGACGCCTGCCAGGGCCAGTCGCCCCTGTGGGGTATACATATGTGCACAAACACACACACACACACACACACACACACACACACACAAACATAAACACAAACATACACATAGAGACACAAACACAATGGATGAGGTGGAGAAATAGAAAATCAGATTTATCTGAAGTAAAAGAACAGTTTGAATAAACAGAGGGTAAAGTACAGTGTCAACATTGAATTTTAACAATCAAAGAACTTATGAACAATTCAAAAGTAAAGCATGTAAATTTTTAGATACTTAATACTTAATTTTTGCTTAATATTTAGAAACAACTGGCAAAGTAGGCTATTTCTAGATCTAATACAAGGTCTGTGGCACGATTTAAAAAAGTATTTAAACACTATTATAGAATTTATTGATATTTTGAATGAGCTTTTATTTTTATTTTTTTATTTTATTTTTTACACTTTTATTTTATTAGGTTTTCATAATTTTTGTTTAATTTGTTGTTTAAGTTTCTTTTAAATATTTCTATTTAGTGTTATTTTTGGTACTTCAACTTATTCCAGTTTGTTGCCAAATCAACATTTCTAATTTTGATTTTTCATATATTTTAATATTTATATTTCATTATATAATCAAAGAACTTATGAACAATTCAAAAGTAAAGCATGTAAATTTTTAGATACTTAATACTTAATTTTTGCTTAATATTTAGAAACAACTGGCAAAGTAGGCTATTTCTAGATCTAAACAAGGTCTGTGGCACGATTTAAAAAAGTATTTAAACACTATTATAGAATTTACTGATATTTTGAATGAGCTTTTATTTTTATTTTTTTATTTTATTTTTTACACTTTTATTTTATTAGGTTTTCATAATTTTTGTTTAATTTGTTGTTTAAGTTTCTTTTAAATATTTCTATTTAGTGTTATTTTTGGTACTTCAACTTATTCCAGTTTGTTGCCAAATCAACATTTCTAATTTTGATTTTTCATATATTTTAATATTTATATTTCATTATATTTCAACTTTATTTCAATTACCAAAATCTATTTTTTTTAATAGTTTTAGATTTGGTTAATAATAATAATAATAACACTGCTATAGCATGAGTTTGATCTGTTTAATTGACCAATGTGCACTGTGATTTTTTTTTTTTTTTTTTGTAAATGAAAGATTTTTGAAGTATCTTTTACAAGACAATACTATTTCAGTCTTTTTACTTTAAAGAGCAAAAATGTTTAATGTGTTACTTTCTGTTTATTTGTAATTATTTGTGAAATTTACTAGCAATTTCTGAGTGAAAGTAATTTTTTTCAGTGTGGGGGTATCTGGAAAGCTGTTTAAAACGATTTATACTCTAATTATAATTACAGTCATTTTAATAAATTCATTGAGTTGAACTAGTATACCTCTTAAATTAAGCATGATCTTTACATTATATGCAATAAAATAAATAGTATCTGAACAAATGTCCACAACATGTGTTCAAGAACTGATTCAACATCAGTAAAATTTAGATGACTGCTAACCTGAGAGATTTATATCCTCCGACAATCCTCTTGCTGCGTCTCTCAGCGCCGGCTTTCAAACCACAGGTGTGTGTGCCCACCACTGCTATGTCAGCCTCTGGCTCCGGCAAATAATCACACACTACACCTGCATCCTGTCCATGCTTACAAGCGTGGCTGTCTTGTCCTTTAGAAGGGCACTCTCCGAAGAACGACTCCTTCCCAGTGCACCTCACGTTGGTCAGATGGATGGTCCCCTTCCCTGCTCCGAAATAACCCATCGGTCGTGCTTTTGACACCCCACTGCCACAGAGAGCAAAAAACAAACATTCAAAGACTTTTCTTCTACTCAGCTAACTGCATTCATCGTGCTAGAGAAATAATACATCATATTCCACAGTAATGATGAGATGCTTTGAGCTATTTTGAGTTAAAATGGCACAAACGGATCCGTACGTGAACCCGAGCTGTCTACAGACGACGGCAGCATTGACATCATTCCAGCCATGATCACAGACGCTGCCCCACTCTCCGTTAAGAAACACCTCCACTCTGCCTTCTTTTCTATTGTCGCCACCTGCCAGTCGTACCAGAGGCCCTGAAACCACAGAAAAGCAAGCAAAACAGAGCTTAGATTCTGTCACTTAGAGTACTGTGCATGTTCAGAAAAAAATGTGAACCTCAAAAAAAAAGTTTTTCAGTAGTAATTTTCCATATAAGCTTATTATAATGCAGGCAGTTACACGGAATGAACTGGAAGACATGGATGATTTAAGAAATTTGGTGCGATTGCAGACTACAATTTATTTTGTTTCAGACAAAAGAAGCACATCCACCTCAGTCTTGTATAATGTATTAGGAGTAAAAGAAATAGGCTCTGTTACTGGCAGTGTAGATTAAACCACAACATGACATGTAAGCACATGATTTTAACAGTCAGTGAAAAGGCTGAACCTCAAAATAACGTTTTTATTTTTAGAACGAATAGTAAGCGTTTCATAGCATCAAATGAACATGAAATCAAAATAGACCTTTTATTATTTATTTATATTCTTAATACACATTCATGATCTTATTGTACACAACTCATCAGTGCATGTTACAGAAAAAAAGCTTTCATTTTCAGTTATCGTCTTGAATATCTGTTATTTTATAACCCCTCCCTCCCTTCTTTCTCTAATATGCCAACATCTGCCAACATCAACAACAATATGCCATAATAGTCATCCCAACTGTTACAATTCAATCAACTACTAATGGATAAAAGTCCTGCACTGCATTACTTTCATTAAACACTGTATCCTAATTCACTCAGATATGTCGCATAATGAAAGCATATTGGGTTGTGCATGTCTTTTCATGTAATGTTAAAGTCAAATAAAAAAGACACACATAAGTAACAGCCTAATGTGGTTGTCAACAGCAAAGTGTAAGGTTTCATTTCGACAACCACACTAACCACAGATCTGCCACTTGTTGAAAAACCTCAACCTGCTTTTGTGACAGATGGGTTTGTAAAGCTTCTACTTTCATCAGAAAGGAAATAAATGATTAAACAGCTAAGGATAAAATATATTATGTATTATTAGATGTAAATGTCATGGAACAAGGTTATTTTTTTAAACGAAAACTAAAACTAAGACGAAAATGATTGTTGAAAAAACAAACTGAAATAAAATAAAAATGTCAAAATAAATGAAAAGTTCAAATGAAACAAACAACAATTACTGAAAAAATTGAAATAATTACAAAAAAATATATTAAAAATAATCGTTTTTGTAATAATTAGCTTCGTTCTCATCTGGTGGCGGAAAAATATAGGCTATGAGCTGTGTGGCTGTTTAGGGTGCATCAAGCACGTAAGGTTATCTGACGGAGAAACGCAAAGCAGTTTAAAGTAGAGTCCTGCATGGGTCTTGTTTTGTAAACCCGCACCTGCAGTACTTAACAGAACACCTGACACGTTATCCGACAGCAGCACTACTTTAATTCTTTACCCGACCGGATCCGTTTGACATAAAAAACGAGACCCGAACCGCACCGTATTAAATCTAATACATCAGGTAGGCAGCATTATTTATTTTCATGTAACACAAACAATAAAACCAACATTTGGCATTAGACATTAGGGAAATTTACCAGCCCGATCTCACTGCAATTCGTACATATTTTACAAGGTGGCTAATTCGTATGAATTCGTACGACCTCACTCGTACAAATTCATACGATTTTTGCTAAATCGTACGTATTTTACAAGTTCAATTCGTATGAATTTGTACGAATGGCCTACACCTAACCCCGCCCCTAAACCTACCCGTCACTGGGGTCTAGACAAATCGTACAAAATCATACGAGTAAGGTCGTACGAATTAGCGACCTCGTAAAAAATACGTACAAATTGGTCGTGAGATAGCACTGAAATTTGCCCATTTGCCATGTGCAACACCACATTTTGCAAGAAGTTTTATTAAAATAAACAGGGTGAAAAGATGCTGAGGCTCATGATTATCATGATTATGCTTAAATAAGATTAAAAATGAATGTTTTAATTTTGTGTCACTAGACGTTTGCGTCACTGAAGATAAATTAAATCTTTCTTTGGTCTGCGATTTGCAAGTGGTCTGTTAATTCTGCTAAACGTATTTACTAAAACTAAAACTGAAACTAAACAATTTAGTTTTTATATATAAAAACTAAATAGAAATGTGTTCAGAAAATGAAAACTAAACTAGAACTAACACAAATATTAATAATAAAAATGAAACTCAATTTTATAGAAAGCGATATTAAAATAAAACGAATTTGAAAATGCAAAACTAATAACCTTGTCATGGAATGCAATAAAGAACCAAAATGTGAAATTGCAGACACTATAATAATAATAACAATAATAATAATAAATATAGTTGCAAGCAGCAATTACGGGGCCAAGCACTACAGAAGCAAGCATCTGACCAACTGCAGTAATGAGTAATTAAAACCATTTTAAGATGATTTTAGTCAAAATGGCTGAAAAATCATAAATACAACCACTAGTAATAAGATTTATTGGCTTATCACTTTTGACCAACAGGTGGCGCTGTTATCAAATATATGTGGCTTGGTCAGTGTGAGGTGACAATGGCACACACAAAGTTTAGTGTCAATATGTCAAAGCTTTGCAGAGATACAGCCTCAGAGTCATTTTGGCATCATGCTTCAAATTTGTAGCGGCGCTATACAAAAACGGTTTTGTCTATCGACACGAAATCCATAACTTTTGCCAGCATGGTCTGAAGATGATCTGAGTCAAATTTGGTGAAGATCAGACCAACGGTCTAGAAGTTCGAAAAAGTAGATTTTCAACATACATCAAAATGGCGGACAGGAAGTTTGGCCAACTATGGCATAATTGGTATCTATGTTGTCAGCATGACCCAAGGAATGTTTTGAGACCAGTTTGATTACAATAGGCTAATGTAATGAAAAGTTATAAGCATTTTTAGAAATTTCATTATTAATGGTTAACACTGCAGGTAGCCTCAGGTCATGCTTGTTATAACACACACCAAGTTTGGTCTCAATACACCAAACTGTTGCGGAGATATAGCCTCACATCCATTTTTGAGTGCCTTTAGTTCGTGTGTTATTTGAGAACGGTTGGACGAATCAACTTTACATTTACATTTAGACATTTAGCAGACGCTTTTATCCAAAGCGACTTACAAATGAGGACAATGGAAGCAATCAAAATCAACAAAAGAGCAATGATATGCAAGTGCTATAACAAGTCTCAGTTAGCTTAATGCAGTACACGTAGCAAGGTTTTTTAAAATCATATAATCAGTGGTGTAATGTAACGAAGTAATAATACTTCGTTACAGTATTTAAGTATTTTTTGGTAGTAACTGTACTTTACTTTACGTTTTTATATTTCAGCCAACTTTTACTTTTACTCCACTATATTTCCTAATTAAAATTCGTAACTTACTACAAAATAGTCAGAAGTCAGAAGAACACGGACTGCAGGAAAGCAGGTTTGACGAATCAGTGGTCTAGCGCTTGAAAGTTAGACTCCTAAAAACACCTTTGCTCATGTGAAAACAAGTGCGCGCACAACCGCGGATGATTTCATTTTCCTCTCAAGTCGAGTCTGGGGTGTGCGATAATATGGTAAGTGTTTTTGTAATGATGTGTGATCTGATATTATCGAGTACCAAATCACACACAGAGAGTGCATGCACATGATTTATTAGTCTATTAAAACTCAAAATTCAAGGCATTCTAAATTGTAGATGGTAAAATGCTACTGTATGCTTTTTATATTTATTTATATAATTTAATATAGTTAACATAATCTTGAAATTTCATAAACTTGAATTCCATAACTTTTTGCCAGCATGGTCTGAAGATGATCTGAGCCAATTTTGGTGAAAATCAGACAAACCATCTAGGACGAGTTTGAAAAAGTAGGTTTTTTTAATTATTAAAAATAGCACAAAAAAAAAACTAAACCTTACGATTTTTGAATTTTGAATTTTGAATTTGACAGAAGGAACGAATTTTCCTTCTGTGCCGTACAGTTCAAAAGTTATTAGCATAAACATAAGTGAAAGTTTGGACAAGTGGTGGCACTAGACAGTTTAAGTTAGAGACTCCAAATTTGATATGGTTAATGTTGGGACTGTCCTATATCGGTGTGCCAAATTTCACAACTTTCCCACAAGCGGTTCTATGGGCTGCAATAGACTCAAGAGCGGAAGAAGAAATGGAAGAAGAAGAAGAAGAACGCCAAGAAGAAGAA